GAAAAATATCCTCAGGTGAGCATTAACAAAAAATAATAACAAATTTTTAAAAAATAGGAAGGGTTTATATTTTAAAAATAAAAATAAATAAATAGCTCAAGACCTGGCACTTGCTTCATAGCAGCCATCTGCAGATCCCTCTGTAGCTCTTACTGATGGCCTCAGGCAGTGACTGACTTTGTACCTCCCTGGATGCCCTAAAGCCAGTGTACCCAACGGACAGCTTCAGCCCATAGCAGATTACAACTCTACATAGCCATAAGTGATACACTCAAGAGGCAGACTCAGAGAGCACCAAAGCCCCATTGAAGCAAGTCCTGCTCCATAGGGGTGTTTCCTGCACAGCAGCTCTCCCACTGTGGTCGCAGCTGGTCCTCACAGCCAATTGACCTGGTCCTCCCAATGACGCCAACAGCAATAAAAGATCAACTACAAAAAGACTGTGCACACAACCCACACAGGGGCACACCTAGAGTGCACAGCTCAGGTGACTGTGGGGACTAAGCCACTGGGCCCTACAGGACATCTACTACATATGGCCACTTTAACAAATCCAGGAGACATAGCAGCTCTGCCTAATACATAGAAACAAACACAAGGAAGCAGCCAAAATGCGAAAACAAAGGAACATGTCACAAATGAAAGAAATGGAAGCAAGCAAACTACTGGACACAGAGTTCAAAACCATGGTTATAAGATTACTCAAGGATATTCATGAGACTTTCAAGGATCTTAGTGAGAATGTCAAAGACATGAAAAAGGACCAGTCAGAAATTAAGCATACACTAACTGAAATAAAGAATAATTTACAGGGACTCAACAGTAGAGTAGAGGAGTCCAAAAATCAAACCAACAATTTGGAATATGAGGAAGCAAAAAACATCCAGTCAGAAAAGCAAAAAGAAAAAAGAATCCAAAAATATGAAGATAAGTGTAAGGAACCTCTGGGACAACTTCCAATGTACCAACATGCACATTATGGTGATACCAGAAAGAAAAGAGAGAGAGCAAGTTATTGAAAACCTATTTGAAGAAGTAATGACAGAAAACTTCCCCTACCTGGTAAAAGAAATAGACTTAAAGGCCAGGAAGCACAGAGTCTCCCAAATAAGAGGAACCCAAAGAGGGCCACACCAAGACCCAAAGAGGACCACATCATAATTAAAATGCCAAGGGCTAAAGACAAAGAGAGAATTTTAAAAGCAGCAAGAGAAAAAGAGTTAGTTACCTACAAGGGCACGCCCATACATCTGTCGGCTGATTTCTTAACAGAAACTTTGCAGGCCAGAAGGGAGTGGTAAGAAATATTCAAATTGATGAATAGTAAGTACCTACACCCAAGATTACTCTACCCAGCTAAGCTCTCATTTAGAATTGAGGGTCAGATAAAGAGCTTCACAAACAAGGAAAAGTTAAAGGAGTTCATCACCACCAAATATGAAATGTTTGAAGGGTATTCTTTAAGAGGAAGAAGAAGAAAAGAAAAAATGTGACCAATAAAATGGCAACAAATACATATCTATCAACAACTGAATCAAAAAATCAAATGAACAGGAAATTTAATGAACAAAATAAACTGGTGAATAAAATAGAATCAGAGGCATGAAAGCATAGAACAGACTGACGAATCTCAGAGGAGAGGGGGCTGCAGGTGGGCAGGGGGTGTGTGTGTGGGAAGAGGTTAACCAAAGATCTTATCTATGGACACAGACAGTAGGGTGGTGAAGGCCTGGGGTGGGGTGGGAACCAAGTGAAGGGGATGATTGGGGGGAAAATACTATCAACAATAAAGATTTAAAATTGAAAAGAAAAAAGGAAAGCTTTCCCAATTGTTACAAATCTGACACCATACTGACTTTTAAAGATTACTGTTCCCAGCCAGTGTGGCTCCATGGTTGAGCTTTGACCCATGAACCAGGAGGTCACAGTTCAATTCCCCAGCAGAGCACATGCCTGGGTTGCAGGCTCGATCCCCAATAGGGGGTGTGCAGGAGGCAGCCAATCAATGATTGATCATTGATGTTTCTATCTCTTCCTCTCTGAAATCAATCTACACTAATAAAAGAGAAAGATGCAAATTGACCGTACCTTCACAACACCCACCAGCCAATCAGGCGTGAGTATACAAATTAACCCAACAAAGATGGAGGGTTACTTTGCATACACAGGCACCAAACGACCAGGGACAGGGTGGGACACTTGCGTCATCGCCATGGTGACGACACAGGTATTCCACACCGCCCCAGCCACTCCGGGCCTCTGGGCAGCGTGGGAAGGAGAAAGGCGGCTCCGGGCCGGAATGAAGACAGAAAGGTGGCTCCAGGCCGGAGCCAAGGCAGAAAGGTGGCTCTGGGCCAGGGCAAAGGTGGTGCCAGCAGCCAGGGGAAGGAAGGCCCATTCTTGCACAAATCTTCGTGCATCGGGCCTCTAGTAAAAATATATTTAAAAAATAAAGATCACAGTTTCTTTATTTTTAGGAATTTTTGTAAACTGCCTCTTTTCCTAGTATAAACTAGGAAAAACTGCTTAGTGGCTTTCCTTGCCAATCAGTATCCTTTACTGAATGCCTACTGTCACACAATGCATAGACTAGGCACCTGAGAGAAGGTGACATGAAAGGATGTTACATTCATCTGCTGTGGGAGAGTACAAAGAAACACATCAGCGAATGTGAAGAGCACTGAGTTGAAACAATGCAGGAAAAAAGATAGGGTTAACACAGCTGAGTTTTGGAAGTAGTAGTCATGAATGGATGCGATGAAATTAAACAACTGTGATTTATTGGAAGTCCTTACTACCTGCCAGACCCCATCTTAGGCTTTATTATGCACTATTGTCTCTAATTCTGAGAGCACTGAGCAAGTAGCAGAAGTGCTATTAGAACTTAGCTCTTCCAACTCTACAGAATGAAAATTAAAACTCTTGGGAGAGTCAGGATGCAAATAAACTTTGTTGCACTAAAAACGGTGAGATTATGGTGAAAAGAAAGCACCTGTTTCATAGAGCTCTAGAAGTCTAAAACGACCAGGCAGAACATTTGAGATAATAACCAACAAGCAATGAAATTAATGATTTTTTCCCCCATAAATGAACAAAAAAATGGGGGAGACCAAAGAAAGTGAAGTCAATTTAGGCAGATATTACTGTATTCTTGAAAAAAGACCTAATTTGGGGGTGGTCTGGGTTCGGGTGAGAATCAAAAACACACAAGAGTACTAAAATTGAGCCAAAAAATGAATGAAATTCACCTAACATAACTGTAATGGAAAAATTGAACAATTATTGTGGATCTCTTATCCCAAATAGCATTATTCTAACAATATTTTTAAAGATATCATTCCAAGTACATTACCTACATGGGGTTTTCTACCTGCTTGTCACTTCACACTGCTCTTGTTCTATTTTCTGTTGATTTTTATTAGATTCTGTTTATAGTCCATTTTACAATTTAACGTATTCAACACTTCTGAGTACTGATGCTTTTGGATATTTATCCTTTTAAAGCAGTGGTTCTCAACCTTCCTAATGCCACGACCCTTTAATACAGTTCCTCATGTTGTGGTGACCCCCAATTTCATTGTTACAAATTGAACATAATTAAAGCATAGTGATTAATCACAAAAACAATATGTAATTATATGTGTTTTCCGATGGTCTTAGGCGACCCCTGTGAAAGGATCGTTCGACCCCCAAAGGGGTCGCAAACCACAGGTTGAGAACTGCTGTTTTAAAGCATCACTTGTAAATGTCAAAAAAAATGCCCTATTATATATAATTGAAAGTTAGCAAATATCCTAAACAATATAACCACAATCTAAATAATTGGCATTTTTTAAGCTGAAATTTTTGTAAATATTAAATCAAAATTCAATTCAGAATCCAACCAATCAGAAAGTGTGACTACAAACCTCCTACAATATACCGCATATCTTGCAATTATCGTCACAAACCTACACACTAATCAGTGTCTTTGGAATCCTTATAAAAAATAAAAATCTAAACCAAATGATGCCAGCCTGGCCGATGTAGCTCAGTGGTTGATTGTCACCCTATGAACCACATCACAGTTCGATTCCGGGTCAGGGCACATGCCTGGGTTTTGGGCTCCATCCCCAGTGTGGGGCATGCAGAAGGCAGCTGATGATTCTCTCTCATCACTGTTGTTTCTCTCTCTCCCTCTCTGAAATCAATAAAAATATTATTAAAAATAATTAAACTAAATGATGCCAACAGCTAATCCTGGCCTGGCTTTGGGGCCCACAGTGTCTGTTATAATGCCGACTTCAGGACTCAAGTCCTAGTGCTTTTATTCATTCAATAAATTCTTGGGGAGAGAACAAGATGGCGGCATAGGTAAACACCTGTACTTGCTGCCTCTCACAATCACATCAAAATTACAACTAAAAGACAGACCAACTATCATCCAGAACCACAGGAAAGCTGGCTGAGTGGAAGTACTACAACCAGAGAGATAAAGAAGAAAGCACATTGAGACTGGCAGGAGGTGCGGAGGCACGGAACGAGCTGGCACCCAGGCATGCTGCTTTTTTAATTGGGAGGGAGATACAAGCTCCCGCTTGCTCTGAACTCCAGTTCCAGGTGAGACTTTGGGGGACCCAGCACATACGGGGAGAAACTGGACTAAATGGCATCAGGGCATGAACATGAGGGCAGCTTTCTTTCAGACGAAGGTGCTCTCAGCGGTCATTGTTCCTGTGCTGGGACCTCTCCGGAGCAGGGCTGACTGGCAATCATTGCTGTTTGCTCCACCTTGGTGATTCCCTGAGACCCTGCTCCACCCAATTTACAACCCCACCCAAGCTGTGTGCGGCGGCTTTTGAATGGGAAAGAGAGAAAAATGTGAGAGAGAAACATTGATTGGTTTTATTCCACCCCTACATGGAATTGAACCTGCAACGTAGGTATGTGCCCTAACCGGGAATCGAACCCACAACTTTTTGGTGTATAGGACAATGCTCCTGGCCAGGGCTGGTGGTTTCTTGAAGTCAGTCATTTTCTTTCTGTCTCAATGTGGCTTCTTCTGTAAGTTATAAGACTTCTGCACAGTTGGTTATTCAGGTTGATCTTTCTATATTTCAGCTGTAATTCCAGTTTGGTACTGGGAGGTGAATGTGGTTAACATCCACCTAGTCTGCCACCATCTTGAATCTCTACAGTATTTTTTTAAAAGGTCAGACACTTCTCATTTAAGAGAAAGTGGAAATTATTATTAAAATGAGGGCCAAGGGTAAAGAATGAGCAATATATCCAATTAAAATTACATTAAAACTTAAATATAAACAGAAGTGAAATTTTCCCTCTCTCAAAGTAGGGAAATTACACAACACAAAATAAATTTACATGTACTATGATAATTTCTTCTTCTTCTTTTTTTTTTTTTTTTTTTTTTTTTAGTTAGGAGTCTTTATTACGTGCGGGCTCAGAGGGAGGTGTCTTCCAAAGACATAGAGGAAGTTTTCCTTATTTATACCTTTGGAGCTCTTTGTCCACAGATTTTACAAAGAGCTCTGTGTACATTATTTTTGCAGACAGTTTGTAATCTTAGATACATAATGAACAAACACTTAGCATAAGCATATGGGAATTATTATCAGTATTTGCCTATTACGTTAGACAGCTAGCTTGCAAGGTCAGACAGTTAAGTTTTTATCTTTTCTATTATTCAAACTAAAACAGTTATTTTACGAGAACCAAGATGGCAGCACGGGAAAGCTGAGTGGAAGTTCTACAACTAGAAGGAAAGAAAAAGGCGCATTTAGACTGGGTAGGAAGTGCTGAGGCGCCAAGAGCAGAGCCTAACCTAACAAACTGCAGCTGGGTCAGAGAGCTCCAAAACTTCCAAACTCCAAACAAAGAGGATAAATCTGCAGATCTTGCTGTAGCTCCTGCTGGGTGGACCTACCCAGCAGCTGACTTTGCACCTCCTTGGAGATCCAGGAGCCAGTGTATCCAGTGGTCAGATACCAGATTTCAACTCCTCACATCCATAGGTGACACACTCAAGAGGCAGACTCAGTGAGCATCAAAGCCCCACTGACGCAAGTCCTGCCCCATAAGGGTGTCTCCAGCACAGCAGTTCTTCCACTATAGACACAGGGGGTCCTCGCAGTCAATTGGACTGGAGGTCATTTCCTCCTAGGGATACCAACAGCAATCAAGGCTTAACTACAACAAGACTGTGCACCCAGCCCACAAAGGGGTGGACCAAGAGTGTCCACCTCAGGTGATTGGGGAGGCTGAGCCACTGGGCCCAATAGGACACCTACCACACAAAGCCACTCTATCAACACAGGGAAGCAGCCAAAATGTGGAGACAAAGAAACATGTCACAAATGAAAGAAATGGAGGAAAGCAAACAACTGGATATAGAGTTCAAAACCACAGTTATAACGTTACTCAAGAATCTTCTACAAACCTCTGAGAAACTTAGTGAGACCTTTAAGGATCTTAATGAGAATGCCAAAAAAAAAAAAAATGGAAAAGGACAAGTCAGAAATTAAGCATACACTGACTGAAATAAAGAATAATATAGAGATCCAACAGCAGACTAGAGGATCCCAAGAATCAAGTCAAAGATTTGAAATATGAGGAAGCAAAAAACACCCACCCTGAAAAGCAAAAAGAAAAAAGAATCCAAAAATATGAAGATAGTGTAAGGAGCCTCTGGAACAACTTTAAGTGTACCAACATCCGAATTATAGGGGTGCCAAAAGAAGAGAGAGAGCAACATATTGAAAACCTCTTTGAAGAAATAATGACAGAAAACTTCCCCTACCTGGTGAAAGAAATAGACTTACAAGTCCAGGAAGCACAGAGAACCCCAAACAAAAGGAATCCAAAGAAGACCACACCAAGACACATCATAATTAAAATGCCAAGAGCAAAAGACAAAGAGAGAATCTTAAAATCAGCAAGAGAAAAACAGTTAGTTACCTACAAGAGAATACCCATACGACTGTCAACTGATTTCTCAACAGAAACCATGCAGGTCAGAAGGGAGTGGCAAGAAATATTCGAAGTGATGAATAGCAAGAACCTACAACCAAGACTACTCTACCCAGCAAAGCTATCATGTAGAATTGAAGGTCAGATAAAGAGCTTCACAGATAAGGAAAAGCTAAAGGAGTTCATCACCACCAAACCAGGATTATATGAAATGCTGAAGGGTATTCTTTAAGAAGAGGAAGAAGAAAAGGGTAAAGGTAAAAATTATGAACAACAAAGTGAAAACAAATACATATCTAAAACAGTTATTTTACAAAGTAAGGGACTGTCTAAAAATAAGAGTTTGACCTATAGAACAAGGGACTGTCTGAAAATAACAGAGTTTAAACAGCAGTTTTAAACAGCAGTTTTCCAAAGGAGGGATTACTATGCTTCAGTATCACAGTTGTGTGGATTGCTCAGCACCAAGATTAGATGCAGGTACAGCCTCCTGTCAGACCCCATGCTTTGCAAGAACTTCACCTACCATGGTCGTCCTCTCCTCTGCATCACAGGGACTTCATGTACATACATGGGCAGCCCTATGAGCTTTCAGGCCGCCATGCACCTCGGCGCGCTGCCGCGGCGCGGCGTCCTCCTTCCCCATCTCCTGACTGCGGCCTCGGCACGTGGGGGAGCCCGGAGACTCCGCGCCCCCTTCCGTGGGGCTGGTCTGGCGCTCCGTGAGGCCGTGCTCCACCCAGGGCGGCAGCCAGTGGCGAGCCGCGGCTCCACGTGCTGCCCAAGGACGCGGTCCGCGGCAGGAGCGGGTACACCGGGGCGACGTGGAGGGAGAAGGCGGGGGACTCGGGCACCGGGACGGTGATGAAGCGCCCGAGGGCGCAGGCGAGGCGCGCGGCTGCCGCCGGCCGCACTCACAGGCTTCACGCTCACGTCCACCTGCAGCTCCATGGGCGCCCAGGTTGCCCGGCGCCGGCTCACCCGGCGCGTCCCAGGGCACCAGCTCGGTTCCCACCGCCTCGCCGTCCCGGGGCTGCTCGGCTGCAGCGGCCCCGGCGACCGCTGCTCGGGGCCAGCGGACAACTGGCGGCGGAAGGCGCCGTAGCCGAGGCTGGCGGGCAGCACCCGCAGGCGCGCGGGGCGAGGCGAGGCAGCTTCTTCCCGCCCGAGAGGTCCTGGCCCGCGCCGGTCGCCACCTGCACGGCCGCGGCCGGGCTGTTCCCGGGACTTTCTGGTCGTCGCTCCTCCGCGGGGGCCTGTGGCTGCGCCAGCCCCGGTACCTGGCTTTCCAAGGGCTCCATTGGCAATTCGGCCCGGCTTGGTCTCCTCCGGATGCTGCCGGGCTCCCTCCATCCCGGGCGCGGAGCCACTGAGAGACGCACAGCGGAGCCCACCTGGGCCCAGGTAGGGTGTCCGTTTCGCCTCTCGGGTCGGGATTGGTCCAGCTGAGTGGAAGTTGTGGATCCACGCCCCTCCCCGTGATGCCCCACCCTCCAACCAAGCTCCCCCCGGGGATTGGCTGTAGTTGGGGCTGGCCACGCCCCTTCAGGCCACCCGCCCTTCCTTCACCATGCACCCGGGAATGAGTGGATGAGAGGGGCCTCAGTGTATGCTTTTCCGGGGAAAGGTCTGGAAGCAGACTTAAGGGAGCACCCAGAGCCCCGCCTGAGTCTTCGCTATTCTTTGTCCTGACTCCCACCCACTTCTTCTCCCACCCACCCCTCAGCGGATTTGGAAAGTTACAACTTGGGCTGAGGGGGGTTGGTCAAGTCCTGTAGAGATCCTCAGACCTCAGAAAAACCAGGGGCTCCAAAAGAAATGGGGCGAAAGAACAAGAACAAAGAAAAAGAAAGAAATGGGACGGCCTGCGGAAAAGTAGCAAAGCGAATTGTCCGGACAATGTAGTGAGAGAAGGGGCGCCACACCTGAGAGGACTCCCGACCCCCTCCCGCACAGTCCCAGGGACAGCTCCTCTGGGAGCCTGACTCCTACTAGCCTAGTGGTCAGCAAACTGCAGTTGGCGAGCCACATGCGGCTCTGTGGCCCCTTGAGTGTGGCTCTTCCACAAAATATGTGTGGGCACGCATGTACAGTGCAACTGAAACTTCGTGGCCCATGCGCAGAAGTCGGTATTTTGTGGAAGAGCCACACTCAAGGGGCCAAAGAGCCGCATGTGGTTCACAAGCCGCAGTTTGCCGACCACTGGCCTAGCTCATTAAAGACTGAGAAATGAAAATATGTCTTATCATGGTGCTACAGGAGCTGGTCCCCCGTCAGCCTTTTGGACTGGAACCTGGATTCGTTGACTGCCAGAGTCGAAGAATGAATCCATGGACAGAGAGTAGTGTAGCAAAGGTGGAGACTTATCGAAGAACAAGTACAGTCTCCCATGTGTTGAGAGGGAAAGAGTCCCACAGAATGGACTCCCAAGTGGGGAGGGGGAAAGGGGTCCCCTATGATAATTTATTGTTTTTATAGATGTAAAAAAATAAAATTTCATTTCTAAATTTTGTTTAAAAAAATTTATAGGTAGGTCGACTAGGAGAAATAAGTTAGCACAATCATTTGAATTGGTTGTCTACACACTGGACAGGGCTTATTTCTTTTTTTTAGCTTTTTTGCACATGTAAAGCATGCCATAAGATGTCCTGTTTTGCCATGGACGATGCAACCATTTTTAGGTCGGCCTTGGCAAATCACACAAGGTTCGATGGCATTATTGGGAAAATTAGAATCCACACATTCTTTGTCTTGTGTTTCTTCCCTCTCATACTCTCTGACATCTTCTTGGCTGCTATAAATGATGCTACCAGAAGTCGATGGCTGAGAATAGTCCTCACTTTCTTGGGATAGGGAGGCTTGTGTGATCTTTTCATCATTTTCCTCAACACATGATTCTTGGGAATCACTCACTGTACTTTTTTTACAATCAGGGACATCAAAGCCCTCTTCTACTTGTGTTGGGTTTTCTAGTTTGGTTTTCTCAGGCATGCTTCCTTTTTCTTTCCCTTTGTCTTCAGGAAGCCAATTCTCACGAAGGGCCCAACATCTGTTGCAATGTGATGGCAGGGGAGGATTCATTTCATTGCACGAAGTACACTTCCAATAATCCTTCAATGAAATAAGACAGTTAGTCTCTGTTACCCTCTAATGACTAGTCATATTAACACTAACTTTAATATGTCTAGGTCAAGGGTGGGCAACCCCTGGCACGCGCGCCAAACATGGCACGCCAGTAACTTTTGCTGGCACGTGAAACCCTCTCTTACAATCTTCCATTTACAATTTTTTTCTTAATATCGACTTTATTTTTCAGATAAATTCAGTGTAGGTGCATCTTAGATAAATAATTTTACATAACATGTATACATTAAAAAAATAAATGTATTTTTCATCATCATATACTGTGTTTTTGTCGCTCGAATGAATTTTATTATTTCTTTAAGGTTCTTCACATACGTACACCTTAAGAGATATCAAGTAGGCGTAACATGTTCTCAAAAAATTAGGGTTGGCACGCAGAAGAATTTTTAGTCAGAGATTCTGCTGGTTTTGGCACGCACTCACAAAAAGGTTGCCCACCCTTGGTCTAGGTAAAATGTATCACAAGGCCTAATTTTCAGCATTTCATGTTTTACAGAAAACATTCAACATTTAAACAGTCTTTCCCCAAGTATGAGATTTTAAGTACTTTTTTTTTTTTTTCAGCTAACCTCTTAACCATGCATCTCAAGTTATCTGTTGGAGGACACAGATACATGCTGGTTCTGAGTTGAAACAAGTGCCAACTACTGGCATCAACTACTACTCTGTAATGAGACCTGTAACCACTCCACTCCCTTAAAGGCTCAATCCTGGATACTGTGCCAGAGTCCACCCATCGATCTGGATGAAACGCTCTCTCAATCCACCACGGACTCTCTCAGCAGTGCTCTAAAACTCAGGGCTCAGCTGAGTGTTCCCTAACTTCACCCACAAAAGCAATGTGGAAACATTCTTCAATAATCACTGTCAGCTAAAATCTGTCGTCATTGTCACTATCCAAAATGTATGCCCTTTACTTGTTTATCCTTTCCTGTGTTCTCACTCTGTAACTGCTCATTGCTTTTTCTTTATCCCAATTTATTTCCCAAAACTTTCCACCATCTTCAGCCTCTTCACTGAACATATTCTTACTTCCCTATCTTAACTGAAGCATGGTTTCCCTGAGGACCCTGTATATGTAACACTTGCCACAAAAGGTCCTGCCTATCTTGCCATGAATAATGTACCATTTCTAAGTTGCCTAACAAATGACATAATACATTAGCAACAAGGGTGGAGAATGTTCATTCTTCCACATTGGTTCTTTCAAGTTGTTAAAATAGGTTTCTTATAACTGATAAAACCGAAGACAAACGTTTTGTAATATTAGGGGTTGAAATGCTTCAAAAAGTCCAAAAATTTGCAAGATCTATGTCTGAAACATTTCACTCAACTTGATATCAAATGAGTCTAGTTGCTTGAATTATTTTCTAACTAGAGACTCGTGCATGAATTCGTGCACTAGTGGAGTCCCTCAGCCTGGCCTGCGGGATCGGGCTTACTTATACCAGCACTGTACCTAGGGGCCAGTCAGCGAAAGTCGCTAGGAACGTCCAGGTCTGCCTCCACCTGCCTCCAACTGTTAGGCTCAGTCACTGAAAGGGCTTCTAGCAGTACTCGAGTTGCATGCAACAGGTTCTTAGTGAGTGACAAGGTGAGAGGTGTTCTCCATATCTATGAGTCCAATCATGGTGCCAGAGCTGGGTCGGAGAACACTCGGCAAATGTCCCAGGGTATACCAAGTCTAGCTGCTCCTGCTGGGTGCTCGCACACCTTTGTGGTGGGCAGGGTCTCAGGGAGTCGTCAGGGTGAGGCCAGCAGAGTTTATCAGGCCTAAACAAGCCAAGATTTGGCCCTGTGAAAGGAAGGCTCTGCACCAGTTGGACGTGTGAGGAAAAAATTTCCCCTGTCCAAGAGCCATGCAACAAAATTTGCCTGAATCCTGCCTCTCCCTGGCAGACAGAAATCCCGCTGCTTTCCACAGCCAGCTGTTATATGGGCAGCTCTTCCTGGCTCTGGTGCTCTGGGCTGGGGAGCCTGGCTTGGGCTTAAGACCCTATACTTATCAGGGACTCGCCCTGCAGCTGAGATACTCCCCTGGAACCTCAACTGCTGCCTGTGGGAGCAGGGTCAGTCCTTTTGCTCTCTGCACTTCCTACAAGTCTCAAGTCTTGATGTGGACTCTTCTGTAAATCCTTGGTTATAAGACTTCTCTTCAGCTGGACTTAGTTGGTTATTCAGGTTGATTGCTCTGTATTTGTTTGGTCCTGGGAGGAGGTGGGTGTACCTCCCACCTATTCCACCACCATCTTGGACCACCTTTCATAATCATGTTCTTTAAAAGTTCCAGCTCAAAAAGTTAAAAAATGTAGCAACATATCCCAACACAACAAATAAAAGAACAAAATGCTTTAAATAATTAAAATTTTAAAGATTTTAACTTTATAAAAATTGCCTCGTCAGGAAGTAGACTAGATATATTCTAATCTTGATTTCAATGTTATTTTTTGATACCTTAAAAACAGATGTATACTTACAGCTAAGGAAATTTCAGGATCATCTTCAAATGAGTCTGTATCACTCTCCCCTGCATGATACACAGTAACTTGATATACCTAATAAAATAAACCCATTATTTTTTTTCAACCAGAAACGTTTCTTAATGGTGAGTCCTAAATGAATAACATGTGCTACTATATATCAGAAATTCTGAGACAACGGTCAAATGGAATGAGAGAGTATAAAGGGGGAAAAATGGAGATCAGGGAAATCCTGAGCCAATATGGTAAAAACTCAGATAAGATATATAAAATGAATGAAGCAAAATATGCAGTACAAGCATCTTATTTTATAAATAAGGTATTAAATAACAATGAAACAGCTAAAAATGTAGGCAACAGATCTAGAGATACTATGTGACTTTATATAACTGCAAGCATGCGTCACTTTTATAAAAAGTAAATTAATATTAATAGAGGGGAACTGAGTTAAATATTTTTAATGAGCAGACTATTTTATATAACAATGCTCATTAAGGCCTACATACTTCTTGGCATATTTATAAAAATATAAATCAGACAAGGAACTACAAAGCCTCAATTCCACATAACAATATTCCAGTTTGAATATATCAAGTTCAAGTATTTCAAATGAAATCTGAATACATTCTTTCAATCTCATCAGTCAACAAATGAAAAATATTTTAGAATATAATTAGAGAAAATAAAACTACCTCATCATCTTCATCTGAGAGTTCTTGTCCTTCTTCACTGAGGTTATAATCTTCTGAATTGAAAGACTCAACTTCAAATTCTACACTGAATCGATCTGAAACTGAATCTTGATCCAACCAATCACCTGATTGTTCACTTACACCAGCATCAAGATCCTAAAACCAGGGGTTGAGGGGGTGACATTGTACATTACTTGTTGGCCTCTATAACAGCTTCCTAAATCATCCCTGTGCCCCTAACTCTTCCTTAATTCTATTCTGCACACTGACACTAAATTAAGATTCTGGATCCCCCAGCCAGTGGGGCTTAGCAATTGAGTGTCGACCCAGGAACCAAGATGGTCTATCTTCCCATGAGGACAGGGATCATATCTACCTTGACTACCACAGTATCTCCAGTGCCAAATAAAACCTGGAAAAGAAGACACAACACATTTCGTACCGCTCAGGAGTTTTCTCGTGTTTCGCACGCCATCTGTTAAGGACCGCTCACGAGTGTTCTCGTTTTTCACGCCCATGGAAAAAGGAGCGAATCTAGATACTTATGTAAATTTTGTTTGGTCCCTCTTCATAGAGGAAAATGTTTTACGCAGTACCATACGTTAAAAAAAGTACTAGGAACTTTAATTGTTTAATTGTTTTTGTAAATAAAAATGTTATAATTATTGAAAAACAACACCTAGAGTGCATTATGATGATTTAAATAACGTGCAGTTTGCCCAAAAAACGTGCGGTCCCTGGCGTATGTCTTAGAGATTTCTATGCGGTACGCAATGTGTTAAATATCTACTGAATAAACTTGTTCTACTCATGCCATCTAGTGGCCTACATAAGTAACAGCTCTTCTAAATACTAACTGTAAAGTTCACATCTGTATCCATAAAATTACTGCTTTGGAAGAGAAAAACAAATACTAGCAACAATAATACATAAAAAGAATAGGGTTAATATCATGATTGGTTCAGTCCCTTATATATTCTAGAGAACTAAAAAATGATCATTCGGATCCAGAATAGTGATCAGGAGAAACTGTCATATCACAAATAAATGTTCTAATTTTAATTACATTTTAAAGACCATGTTAAATGACAAGAAAGAAAATATTCCATTTTTCAAGTGCTCTTGCTAGCAAAAACTTCTTTACAAAACTTCTTTCAGTGACATCGCTTAAGAATTTTACTCCTGGATTTTAATCAATCCAACACTTCGGATTTTTATCAATCAAAATGTACTGATATGTCATCCATGCAATATTACACCCATTTCACAGCATTAGTATCAGACCTCTTGATGTCTAGACCTACATATCGCAAATGTAAAGCTCAAACTCTGCCAATTTACTTGCTGACAACTATAGTAAAAAAAATTTATTCTAAATATTTAACACAAATTTGCCTTAGAATACTAAAATATCTAACTAAATCAAATTTCCATTTTTGTTCCCTTACTTTATTTTTTATTTTTTTATTGATTTCAGAGAGGACGGGAGAGGGAGAAACATCAATGATGAGAGAGAGCCCTAGCTGGTTTGGCTCAGTGGAGAGAGCGTCGGCCTGCAGACTGAAGGGTCCTGGGTTTGATTCCAGTAAAGGGCATATGTCCAGGTTTCGGGCACGATCCTCAGTAGGGGGCGTGCAGGAGGCAGCCAATCAATGGTTCTCTTTTAACATTGATGTTTCTATCTCTCTTTCCCTCCCCCTTCCTCTCTGAAATCAATAAAAATGTTTTTTTTCTTTAAAAATGATGAGAGAGAATTACTGATCAGCTGCCTCCTGCATGCCCCACACTAGGGATCAAGCCCACAACCTGGGCATGTGCCCTGACTGGATATTGAACTGTGACCTCCTAGTTCAATTGACCCTCAACCACTGAGCCACACCGGCCAGGCTATTCCCTTATTTAAAAAAAAAATTCTAAATTCTCAGACTATCCTATATTCCAATTTATTTGAACTTATATTGGTACAGTGGCCTACAAGATTCTCTAACATATAGGATGACATTAATAACTATTAATATTGGTACTAATTTTACCAACCCACCTCAGTGGTACTCTGCTATCTTACACCATTCTCCCTAAACCTAGGGTTGGGGTAGGGAAGAGCTATACTTGTTTATTTGGAAAAAAAAAAAAAAAAACTTACCGGGAGCATTTGAGATCTTGCTCCCTGGCATATGTCACCAGTTTGGCTTAAACAAACTCATAAAAATAAAAATAAAAAATTACCACTGTATAGCAGTAATCACATATAAATGTACATCCTACCTGAATGCTTATTAGAACTGCCAAAATTAGATTTAAAAAACAAGTCTTATTAAGTCATTTTTCACTTAAGCAAGAAGATTACCGGATTTGATGAAGTTCCTGTTGATTCACTACTACTACTGCTTCTTTCACAGCGTATCTCCCTTATTACACACAGAGCAAGGCTTTCATCAAAGGAAAAGGAAATACTATCAGATCTGTGGCGCTTTCTTTGACGTTCACCAGGTAATTCATCTGAGTTTTCTTCTGGATATGTAAGGAAAAACAAATTAATTAAATTGCTACACAGTTTATTTAGAAATTGAGCTGTCATGAGTACCTATTCGTACTGAAATTTAGTTCCAATGAAATTAAACCTGTTTCAACAGTTAACACTTTCATTGGATCTGTCCAGAATAATAGAATACTATTTTTAAAAGCTTTTTAAGCTTCTTTCAGAATGTTATCTCCATTAAATCACAATTTAATCTATCCCTAGCTTGTATTAAACAATCTAGGATTTCTGTCATAAGTCAATATACTTAGAAGGTACATCTGCAATTCACTTCAGCATAAGTTAATACAAATATAAATTGATTCTCTCCCCCCAAAATAGCTAACCTTTTGTTCCAGTCCCATATATTTAATAAGACCCCTCTGCCCTTACTACCCTCACATACAGGATTTTAGTCTGGGTTTAACTATTTCATTGATCTTCTTTCACCTGATTCATATACTTTTGGTTATAATGACTTTGATTAGGCAACAGCCTCCTCCTCCAGTATCTTTTAGCTGCAAAATTGTTCAGCTATTTTCTTTATCTTGTTTTCATTTCTAAGACGGTATTTACCGTTTTTAAACTCACTGATATTTTATCACTTATTAAAAATTACAATACTTTAACTGCTAAGGTGACTAAGAATAATGAGTAAGAGTTTATAACTTTGTCCTCTATTATCTTGAATAGAAAACTGGCTAACTATAAAATCCAGGGGAGGCAAAGTAAACTGTGTCTACTGCAGTCAACCAGAAAAATGTTGCTCAGAAAGCAATTTTTAAAATCAAACAAATCACATAAAACTGAGACTAAAACTCAGAAATTAATTCATCTAAACCAAAAAAGCACAATTTAATTAAGCCAAAGTGTATTAATTTCCTAAGAAAATGAACACTGAAAAGCTGTTTGAAAATGACAATTAAATATTCACATATACCTGTCTCACTAATTGTTCTCCTTCTAGATGAGGTAGATGGTCTAGAAACCAAATCTGAAGATGAAGGTTTCTCTTCCTGCTCTTGTACAGAGTCCTAAGAATTCAAGGGGGAAAAGACCCACAAACTTAACTTGTAACACCAGAAAGCTAATTCCCCAATGTAATAACCTTTCCTATTTTCAAGAATTATACTAGAATGAGTTAATCTCAAAATTACCTTTTGATCACTCCCACCTTCAAGGTGACATCTGTTTTCACTCACAGATGTGCCTGAATCTGATGGTTCTGGTGGAAAATAAAAACAGAAAAACACAAACTGAGAAAGGTCTACTCAATATATAGTCCAGGACAAAATGCTCACACAATTTAACCTTTCAACAAATATTAAACATGTGTCTCCCAGCCTGGCTGGCATGGCTCAGTGGTTGAGAGTCAACCTATGAACCTGATCATGGTTCGATTCCCAGTCAGGGCACATGCCCAGGTTTTGGGCTCGACCCCCAGTGGGGATCAATTAAAAATATACATATTAAAAACCAAAAAATATTTTTTAAAAAAACTGACTTTCTAGTGCATAGCAAGTATTTTCTCCAGCAAGCAATAAGAAACCCTTCCCTAAATGGTCTTTTTATAAATTATTTTATTTATTTCAGAAAGGAAGGAAAAGGGAGGGAGACAGAAATAGAAACATCATTGATGAGAGAGAATCATTGACTGGCTGCCTCCTACACACCCCACACTGGGGATCAAGCCTGCAACTCGGGCATGTGCCACCCCCGCCCATCCCACTGGGAATCAAATCGCGATCTCCTGGTTCTAGCTCGACCACCAGCAATGCCAGCTAGGCCTAAATGGTCTTTTTATGTGCAGGAGTGACAAATCACTCAGGCAAAATATAAGGAAAAGAGAGCAGAGGCAGGAAAACCAGTATTGGACAGCAACTGCAATAATACACATAAAAAAGTATTAAAACCTAAACTAAGCCATGGAAAAAAAGATAAATTTCAGAGAAATTAAAAAGGTAAAAACCAGGGTGTCTGACATACAAGGCAAAAGGAGAAAGGAGTTAAGGATTCCAAGATTCTACCTGGGGTGGATAAATGGGTGGTGCTATTCACCAAGACAGAAACTGGAAAAGATGAATAGATTTGGATGGGAAGATAGTGAACTAAAGGGGATGAAACTCAGGTAGGTAATTTTAGTTTTTAACTGGATGTGTAGACATGGAGCTCAAAAAGTCAGTTTCAGTTATAGAAATTACCAAATATCATAATCAAATGCGCTTCACTGCTCCCTGAGACATTTTCACCTTAGTAGGGAAGTCAGGACTGAGCATTAATAATTTGAAATGATATACAATGTCATAACAGTTTATTTCTTCTTTATATCATGAGCAAGGTATTATACTTATTTTAAGTTGTACATGTACATTTTATATTTTTAGTATAACAGGTATTACAAAGCAGATGTAATAAAAAAGGAAGCACTAGATATGACAAGGTTTAGAACACTATGAGTTCTAAAGTTAATGCCACTCAACTGAACCTGAAACTCAGAATGGAAACATAAGAAATTTACGAATTACCATCTCATTAACATAATGTTCCTAGTAATCCACCAAGGTTTATTTACTTTTTGTTCTTTTCAAAATTCTACCAAGATTAACTTTTTTTAAAATATGTATTTTTACTGATTTCAGAGAGGGAGAAGGAGAGAGAGATAGAAACATCAATGATGACAGAGAACCATTGGTCAGCTGCTTCCTGCACGCCCCCAACTGGGGGTTGAGCCTGCAACCCTGCATGTGCCTGGACTAAGAATCAACTGACATCCTAGTTCACAGATGTAAGCTCAACCACTGAGCCACAATGGCCGGGCTTACCAAGATTAATTTACATGAATGAACACATCAGAGATAATACTTCAGAAAACACTACTACAGATACTATTTATAGTTGTTTATCTGCCTTCATTTGATTTCATAAAGAGCTTTGTAAAACAATAAAGTCACCAGACTAATAATCACCTCTATTCCAAATAAGATAGATGGTGATGCCCTTTTCTGGGTCTTAAATCCTAACTTTGGAAGAATAAGTATTCAACACATTTACTAAACACCATATTAATAAAACACTACTGTGTGTGTGATGCAGAATGTAGAACTGAACAGGACATAAGAAAGCAATATAAACAATTATAAAAAGAAAATTTATATCAATAAAATTTAAGTACAGAATAGTAGGAGCATAAAGAAATGGTCTGTTCATTCTGGGAAATAAACTTCTGAGAACAGTTTTTTGTTTTTGTTTTTTGAGAAGAGTTCTTAACTGACTTTCTAGGATGGGCTTTAAGAAATCTGTGGTGTACTGGAGCCAGCTCCTACCATCACTCAAACCCAGGCTGTGCACCTCTCTTCCCAATTCTGTGTTTGTAAAATGGCCTAAAAATGGCCATGGTGGGAGTATTTACACCATGGAAATCAGCAACCACTATAAATCAGGCCTTTTCCCCCGGGGAGTGGATTAAAACACTTACCAGCATACCACTATCCTATATAATAAAAGGATAATATGCAAATGGACCCTAACAGCAGAACAACTGGGAATGACTGGTCACTATGACACACACTGACCACCAGGGGGCAGACACTCAATGCAGGAGATGCCCCCTGGTGGTCAGTGCGCTCCCACAGAGGGAGCTCTGCTCAGCCACAAGCCAGGCTAATGGCTGCCAGTACAGCGGTGGTGGCGAGAGCTTCTCCCGCCTCCTCAGCAGCGCTAAGGATGTCCAACTGCAGCTTAGGCCTGCTCCCCACTGGCAAGTGGACATCCCCCGAGGGCTCCCCGATGCCAGAGGGATGTCTGACTGCCAGCTTAGGCCTGATCCCCTGGGAAATAGGCCTAAGCCAGCAGGTGGACATCCCCCAAAGGGTCCCAGACTGCGAGAGGGCACAGGCCAGGCTGAGGGACCCCCCCCCCCGAGTTTGAAAATGACAATTAAATATTGTCCTCCTTCTAGATGTCACTCCTGCACATAAAAAGACCAGTGTATTAATTGGTCTTCAAACCCCCCCCGAGTGCACAAATTTTTGTGCACCGGGCCTCTAGTATATGTTTATTTTTCTAGAATGAGAATACAGTGCTTTTGTCACATTATTAAAGGGGTAAGTGACCCAAAAATAACCTGTTAAGAACAATACGTCTAAAGGCAAGAAAGTACAATGCCACTTACCTAAACAAATTGGTAAACAAAGCTTTGTCTATTATAAAAGTAAACACACACACACACACACACACACACAAACAAATACCCATCCTTTAAATGGTCCTACCTAGGTATATACATTACTTCCCGAAGCCTTTCAATACATTTCAGGTTTGATCACATCTCTACTAAGCAGTAACTTTTGAAATTATACACATTTCAGAACAAATACTAACCCTCATATCCCAAGGCCTACACAGAGGTAACAAGACATTTAACCTTTCATATCATAAATCTGCATTAGAGCCTTAGTGTTATGTTGTTTTAATTCAGTGGTCGACAACCAGTGGTCTGTGGACCACTGGTAGTCCGTGAGGTCCGAAAGGTTGACGACCGCTGTTTTAGTTCATATGTAGTTCTTCCCATTAAATTTATCATATTCTTTTATTACAGTTAAACATATCATTAAAGCAACTTTTAAAGAGAATCACAATTACAAAATGACTAAACATACACAAAATGTCTTAAAATATTTTCATGGTATATGTTTATGATATTCGAAAATTAACTTACCCGCCTGATTGACTATTACCAAGTTTTTGTAGATCATTGTGTATATTTTCCTTGTAGGGAGAAGAAATAAGAAATGCACATTTTAAAATAAATGTATCAAATTGGCCTTAACCAGACTTTTAAAAGTATTATTATATTTAAGTGCACAAAGACCAAATTTTAAATCACTGAATTCATATTATATCAATGTTCTAGGTCTTAAAAAGCACCATAATTAGTTGTAGAATGATTACATACAGCTACCTTTTACAATCACTGAAGTCTCTCTAGTTGAAAGATTTTATGTTTCCATCTCTTGAAATGTGCCTTGTTTGGACTTTACCACACAATTCCAGAGAATGGGTATAAATGCAGAAAGCGGGTTAACATATGTACTTATTTTCAAAGAGAAATTTTCTAGCTGTGTTTAGAAATAGACTTCCTAGAAAAAGTAGTGTGTTATAAAAACCCCACTATAGGAACTTGATTCTAATTTTGACTCATCAACCCTTGACCAGTCATCTAATGGATTTTCTTTCTTGACCTTAAAATTTGTTGAAGATAAAACCGTATTATTCATCTTGTAAATACAGACTGAGAACCTACTATGTACCAATCACTGTTCTAGAAACTGGAGGGAAAGAATACAAAAACCCCACAAATCTCTGCTCTCACTGAATTTAACTATATCTTAATAGGAAGGCAATTCACTTATTCCAGTCTTCATTGATATCATAGTGTGTGTTTTTTAAACCAATGATTTTAGAGAATGTTTTTGGTCGCAAGACATCATTTCTAATTCTCAAGGTTAAGAGAGAAGTGCCAAATCCAACTATTTCTTTTTACCCTTGGGACTGATGATACAGCTCCTTAAACTCACAAGTCAACATTTTTATTCATATCCTTTTTCTAAGTCAGCAATTTCCCCAGTATGTAACCTCTCAACATATCAAAGATAACTTTAATACCAGAAATTACATCTCCAAATAATACAAGAATAAATTCTGTTTCTCGTACTCACAACTAAAAACCTACTTTTGCCCCACCCTATATGCTATATTGCTAAGAAATTAAAATTTAGCATCTTTTACATATAACAATTTTTCTCTGACAAAAAGGAGGGTGGAGGCGAACTGAAACATTTACCCAGCTTGTTTTTTACAATAGACTAAACCGAAAAATTCACCTGTGTTCTTTCACAGAGAAACTTGGCACTCCAAACAAATCCCCTAGAAGGTCATTTGAACAATATACAATATGCTGTTGCTTCTCATCATATAATCGCTTCTTCATAATATACTGGCCAAGATAAAATATAACCTGAAACAGAAATATGATTTCTGAGAATTAATGAAAATTAAATGTTAGTTTCAAATACATTCAACATCATTTATCTGAAGAGGGTTAAACCAGCAACCACATTCACAACCATCAAAAATAACAACCCTATAAAAATCTTTTCCTTTTAATTTGATGGATGCAGAGACATTGCTTCTGATTTAGTTAAATAAAAGTTTAAAATGTATTTTTTCAGACCTTAACTGCCCAGATATCTAGGTACTACACATTAGGAAAAGAAAAGGCAGCAAAATGCTAGTAAGACATTAGTTATCTCATTAACTCTTAGTTCAGCTTACCTCTTTCATAGTATAAGTGTCTTTTTGTGCACCAACAGATTTTAACAACTTCAAAAGCAATGGCTTTGGTCTAACCTATGAAAAAAAGTTGCTATTATACTTCCAAATTTATTACAGAACTATAAGCCCCATTGCAAACATGTCCATAATTTCAATAAAGATAGCAGACACTACATTTAACAATCTCACAAGGTTATACTTCAAAAAATAAGTCACAATGTTTTCATTAAAAATAATAGACTATATAAACTGAATACCAGACTATCTCAGGAGTTTGAAAAAAAAATGCTGGGACCTAATTATTACACAGTCAGACTTCTCAACTGTTACCAGTTGTCATCAAAACAGGTATCCATGCCGATGCAGTGAAAATTATGTTTTTTCCCTCCAGCTGTTTCTGTCATCAGCTTATTATCTTACAAACCCAGCCATAAATGGAATACCCCTATGAGCTTACTGTAAACTAAATTACAAAACCCAAGAAAAATAAACCTCTAGTGTGGGGCCTTTTACCAATCTTTTCCTTCTTACAGATTAGGTTCCTGAAGAATGGAGAATTTAAATAACCAAACCAAGGTGACAAGATAATTAAGTGGCAGCTCTGAGACTGCCACTTATGCCCCTCAATTACAAGCCACCATTTTCTTCTGACTATATCATGCTGCCTCTTAGTTCAGCGGTTCTCAACCTGTGGGTCGCGACCCCTTTGGCGGTCGAACGACCCTTTCACAGGGGTCGCCTAAGACCATCCTGCATATCAGATATTTACATGACGATTCATAACAGTAGCAACATTACAGTTATGAAGTAGCAACGAAAATAATTTTATGGTTGGGTCACAACATGAGGAACTGTATTTTAAGGGCCAGAAGGTTAAGAACCACTGTCTTAGTTGGTCTTCATTTCAATTATCTACTTAATAAACATTACTGAGTTTCTACCATGCACCAAAGAGTGACAGGTATTGGCTAAAAAAGAAAAGAAAAGCATATGACCTGTATTCCAGGGGCCAGTCAACTACACTGAAGGGAACCAAAGTTTTGCTACCCTGAAGCTGCTTTTGGGGATACTGATTTTAAGCTGTTTATTAAGGGACAAAAGATTCAGAAAGACTTTCTGACCCTCCCCCTCTTTCCTTCCCAAGAGATCCAGAAAGAAAAACCTGCTTCAGGAAGGAGATCGCAGGCTGTGCCTTAGCCTCATTGCACTGAGGGGGTAATAAGAGGCGTCAGGCAGGGGCCGGTTAGTAGCTGCCCTCCGTGCCCCACTGTTTCTGAGTGGCCTAGCAAGCATTTTCCGTCAAAGTAAGGGAAATAAGTACGCTCTGCTCTTCCTCAACTACTTATAAATGGCCCGTTCTCGTTTCTGAAATCTAATACCCCACCCCCCGTTTTCTCCTTCTTCCAAAAATGTCTTATGCACCCCATGTTGCCTCACTGTCTTTGGAACTTTCATACCCATGCCCATGTATTAAAACTTTGATTTCTCTCCAGTTGATCTGTCTGTTAATTAGCCCAGCCAGAAGAACTTAGAAGGTGGGAAGAAAAATGTTAATATTTTTTAGCCTCACACTATTAACAGTCTTTTGGTGAGCTAGCAAGTTATCAGTTAGCAATCAAATAGTATGTCTATAATTCAAGACCCATGAGTTCTCCTATAAAATACTTTTACAGAAACATTCAAAAATAAATCATAACCTTTTCATTAAATGTATCCTAACACAAAGCAGCACTAGGTGTAATACTCAAACACTAAAAGGCAATCAAAACACAGTCAAGGCATAAATTTTTTAAATGGCATACTGTTACAAAATACTATACAGCAGTTAAAAACAATTCTGTAATATTATTTGTCAGGGATGTACCTCTAACTTAATGTCATCTCACTAGAACAAAACAATAACATAAAAATTCACATGTGCACATATGTATGTGGTTATATACACTTTAAAAAAATCTAAAAGACAGAGTCAAAAGGCTAGAATTTTCAGTTGTGACTTGTCTTCATTTCTGCCCATGCCTCAACTCTACCGGCATGAATGACTTTTGTGACTTCTAGGAACCATTTAAAAAGTTAAATACTAACGAGTCAACACAGGGAAAACCTCTGTCACATAATGCACGCCAGCACCCCTGCCCCGGCAGGCCATGGCACTCACCTTCACATCCAGGGTGGTGCAGAGCTGCGAAAAGGCCGTTCCTTACAGCAGCGGACCCCACCCAGCTATGCCCACCTGGCAGAATCTAAGCTACGCACACACCACCCCACTCTTAAGGAGCCGTGCTATGATTGGGTGGGTCAACCTAATTCAGCTGGTCACATCACCAAGGAAAATATGTTTAAAAATTACCCTTTGAGACAAAATACCAACCAGGGTCTCTTGTTCAGAAGCCGGAATCTGGGAGGTGCTCACAGCACCATCCGTAGACACAGACATACTGGTATTGCACATCTGCCTGAGAGGAGGGGAAAAAGATAAAACACCATCAATACTCAAAACAATACCTTTCGATAGCAATGCGTTTACAGAAACTGAATCCATCTGCAAGCGGGTCCTCACCTGGCTCGCTAGAGATCGAGCGCCGCGTGTGCGCCGGTGCCAAAGTGAGCACAGCTGGCAGAGGTCCGGTTTAAATCCCCAGCTGCAGACAAGTCGGGGCTTAGCTCCGGGGCTGCGGGCTCGGAACGTGTCCGAACTTGACCGGCCCAGCAAACAGCTGAGTCAACCTGCCCGCGACCCAGCCCACTCGCGCCCAGGCTCCCCGCCCGCTGCAGGCGGGGGGGCACGGAGCAGGCACCTGTCATTACTTCCGCCCCCGCCCGGCCGCCGGCGCCGCAGCGCCCCCCGCCCGTGACCTCCGCCCCGCCGCCCGCACGGCCCTCCGCCCGCCCGTCCCCCGCGCCGGGAGCGCGCGCGGCCTGGAACCCAGATGGCAACCAGCTCGCCTCCTTCCAACAAAACCTCCCCGAACCCACGTGCTCTGCACCCCCCACCACCAAGTGCACAAAGCCTGCGTGCAAGGGGGAAGGCTGGCAGCCACGGCAGCGAGACCCGAGTCCCGGCGCCAACCCAGGACTGCCCGCGCGCTTCCCGGCTGGAACCTGCTCTCACCCAGCCGGGCGGTCCGCGCCGGGAGTCGGGTGGGGCGTCCCCAAGGTGACCCAGGGCCCTTCGCGGGCGCGCGGCAGCCCTCCACCCGGGGCGTCCACTCGCGGGCCCGGCCGCTCCACTTACTCTGCGCGGAGGAGGAGGCCCCTGGCGTCGGAAGCGGCCGGGCCTCGGTCCGCGGGCTTAGGACCGCCCCTCGGGCTCGGCTTCTGGCTCCATGTCCTTCTGGACGCACAAGCCCGCACATGCCCCACGGGGAGCGCAGCTGGACAAGGGGCACCGAAACGGCGACCCCTACCGCCCGAGGGCACCGCGCCGGAAACCGCGGCCCATCCGGGCCTTCCAGCGCGCGCGCCCGGACCCGCTGCCTCCGCCAATAGGGGCCGGGGCGGGGCGGGGCCTCCGCGAGGGCGGGCGGCGGGCTCTGCGCGCCCCCGGCAGGTGGCCAGGGGCGCAGGGCGCCCGCAACCGGCACCCCCGGGCGCCCCTTTCCGCTGCCGCCTGGTTTGGTGCGAGACGCTGGGACGCCTTTGTCCGTGGTGCTGTTTTTTGTATTTCTTCTGTTTTCTCCGCCCGACCGGGGTGGAAACTACAGGCAAATGCGTAGCTTCGTGCGGTCACCGAAAGGGAAACCAGAACTGACAGCTGTGCGGTATATTCAGCTGCGCCGCCCGCCGCCGGAGCCGGATGCGAGGGAGTTATTTCGAGACTTGCGTTTTCACAGAAGTGCGACTGACATTAGCACCATGTGGCCTTGTACCGCGGATGCACACGAACGGCCCGGTGACAGAAATGAGAGACCGGAGGGATGAAGAAGAGCGGTCACTTTTCATTTATGCTTCCAGAATATTTGGCTTTGTTTGTATAACATCTGCGTTCATCCCCATTACAAATGTACACGTATGAAGCGCTCAGTACTGACTTGCCCCTTTGGGGCACGCAGACGTGGCAATCTCAACAGTGAACAAGGACGTGAGAATTGAGTGGGTTCAGCCTAGAAAGCGCTGTCATTGGCAAAGGCCAGCTGCTTCTTCGGCCAGAAGCAATTAGTTGCTTGTGAACAAGGACCTTTTATATCTTTCCCTTCTTCCACGCCCTCGCTTTCTAGAAAAGAATCTTCCTTAAACATAGTGGCCACTCAATTGATTTAATCAGCATTATTCAAGGATGATTGGGTTTGGTTTTAAAAAAAAAAAAAAAAACTATAACAAAAATAAACAAAGACCCAGCCAGTTAGTTCCTTAGTTGGTTGGAGCATGTCCCAGACACCAGAAAGGTTGCAAGGTTGCGGCTGGGCTCCAGGCCAGGGAGGGCACATACCTAGGGTGTCGGTTCCATCCTTGGTCCGGGCATGTACTGGAGACAGCCAATCTGTCTGTCTGCCTGTCTTTCTGTCTGTCTGTCTATCTGTCTCCCCCTCTCTCTCTCTCATCAATACAAATATATTCTCAGATGAGGGTAAAATAAAAATAAACAATAAACTAATAAACCAAACTCATAAAAGGAACAAATTGGTAGTCCCCAGACTGGGGAGTGTATGTGAAAAATGTGAAAGGGATTAAGAAGTACAAATGACCAGTTATTAAAATGGTCACAGGAATGTACAGTACAGCATACAGAATATAGTCAATAATGTTGTAATAACTGTGTATGGTGTCTCATGGGTATTAGACATCCCAGGCTGATTGCTTCGTAAGTCTAATCGCTATATGGTACAACTGAAACTAATGTAATATTGTATGTCAGCTGTAATTGAAAAATAAGTTATTTTTAAAATACTTTTTTATTAAAAAAATTACAAACTTGAGAAAATAAACAAATGGGACTACATCACAATAAAATGCTTCTGCTCAGCAAAAGAAACCATCAACAAAACAACAAGAAAGCCCACTGCATGGGAAAACATATTTGCCAGTGTTATCACCGATGAGGGTTTAATCTCCAACATTTACAGGGAACTCATACAACTTAACAAAAGGAAGATAAACAATCCAATCAAAAAATGGGCAAAGGACCTAAATAGACACTTTTCAAAAGAGGACATTCAGAAAGCCAAGAGACACATGAAAACATGCTCAAAGTCCCTAATCATCCAAGAGATGCAAATCAAAACAACGAGGTACCATCTCACACCTGTCAGAATGACTATCATCAACAAATCAACAAAGGACAAGTGCTGGAGAGGATGCAGAGAAAAAGGAACATTAGTGCACTGCTGGTGGGAATGCAGACTGGTGCAGCCACTGTGGAAGACAGTATGGAGTTTCCTCAAAAAACTAAAAATGGAACTACCATTTGACCCAGTGATCCCACTCCTAGGAATATATCCCAAGAAATCAGAAACACTAATCAGAAAGGATATTTGCACCCCGATGTTCATAACAGCACAATCTATAATAGCGAGGATTTGGAAACAGCCTAAGAGCCCATCAGCAGATGAGTGGATTAGAAAACTATGGTACATCTACACCAGCGGTTTTCAACCTGTGGGTCGAGACCCCTTTGGGGGTTGAATGACCCTGGCGGAAGCCGGTCCATCCTTGCTGCTTGACACAGTCGCTGCAGGGAAGAAACATCTGCACAGCATATGTCTCGGGGGACCTGGCGTATGTGGCATACTGTTCTTAATATCTTTGCTCCCCTTCTTGGCGCTATGTGTTTTAACCAAGTCACCTCTCCGAGAAAGGTTGTTTCCCCAGATAGGGATTTTTCCCTGAAGTTAGGGAGGGAATAAAACCCCTTAACTAAGTGCCAGACGGGTAGTTAATCACTTTACGAACAAACATGCTTAAGCTACATAATCTTTACTCCCTGGAATGGAGATAAGAAAGGCCCTAACCTTTGGAATAGAAATTGATAGGATTAAAATCAACTGGTATAAATACAGATGTAATAAGACAATAAAAGACAGAACTTGGCTGGAGATCCTGGCTAGAGATCCTGGCTAGGCTGCTGATCAACTGAACGCTGTCTCCGTGTCATTCCTTCTTCGCCGACTCCGTCCATACTTTTGGGAACCCCTGGACCTGCTGGGGCTGGACCCCAACATGACCCTTTCGCAGGGGTCGCCTAAGACCATCGGAAAACACATATATAATTACATATTGTTTTTGTGATTAATCACTATGTTTTAATTATGTTCAATTTGTAACAATGAAATTGGGGGTAACCACAACATGAGGAACTGTATTAAAGGGTCGAGGCATTAGGAAGGTTGAGAACCACTGAACACAATGGAATACTAGGCTGCTATAAAAAAAAAAGGAACTTTTACCATTTGCAACAGCATGGATGGACCTGTAGAGCATTATGCTAAGGGAAATAAGCCAGTCGGAGAAAGATAAATATCACATGATCTCACTTATTTGTGGAATATGATGAACAACATAGACTGATGAACAAAAATGGGTCCAGAGACAGAGAAGCAGCACTGAACGGACTGTCAAACCTCAGAGGGAAGGCAGGGGAGGATGGAAAGAGTGATGTAAGAGATCAAGCGAAGGACTTGTATGCATACATATTAGCATAACCAGTGGGCATGGACACTGGGGCGGTGGGGGCTTGTCCTGGGGGTGGGAGTGGCCAGGGAGGAGTCGATGGGGGGAATAAAGAGACATATGTAACACTTTAAACAATAAAAAAAAGAAATTTAAAAAAATTTACAAACTCTAACCTTTATCACAACAAATATAATGAAGTTTCTGATTGTGAGAGCATGTGCTTGACACAGAAGAGAAAATCACAAGAGATGAAGAAAAATAAGCATAAAAATATAAATTACACAAGTTGGCATTTGTTAAATGAAGAAACAGGTGTGTGATGTAAAGTTCAAAGTCAGGATTGATCAGTGAATATCCGGGTAGTTCACAAAGGCCTCAGAAAGGATCAGAGTGTTTTGTGCTTTGAAGGGCCATGAGACTTAAAACAGAGGAGAATATTATAGGCACAAAAGAAATATTATTTAAAAAGTCCAGAAATGAAAGTGTAAAGAGCTTTTGGTGAAACAATAAATTAATTTGATTTGTACAAAAGTCAAGAAAAAAAAAAAGTTTTAAGAACCTTTAAATTCAAAGCAAGGGGATGGGGGCTTTGGACAGGGAAGGTAATAGACAGGTTGGGGGAATGTAAACAGGAGAATTGCTTTCCATTGTGTTTCTTAAAAGACCACCATAAACAGATTCAAGCTCTGAATAATCTGGCCAGCCCTCTCTGGACCAACTTCCCCCCTTCTCATTAGCCCTGTGTTTTGAAAAAATTTTGTTCAAAAAGTTTTGAAGAGCAGAAACAAAGGGCAGAAATGATGGGATTAGTGCTTTTCTAGCGATGGAACCATAAATGAAGGAAGAAGTGATCATATTCAGAGCGTTGGGGAAAGAGATATAAATGAGGCAAGGATTCTATCTTTGGAGGAATTGGTATTGACAAGGAGAAAATTCTGAGATGTCCTAAATTAAATTATAGCAGGACAGAGGGTGGAAGGAAGAGACAAAAGGGGTTAGTCATTAACAACTGCAGTGCAAAAGCAACAGAAGACAGCAAACACTCCTTAATGTATGTTTGAATTATTAAATTAGCCTGCAGGTGGCTAGTTCTGAAATTATCTAAAAGGCAAGACTAGCCAGGCACCATAGAATCCAAGGAGCCTCTGCTGCTTGTTTACACAGGAGTTTTACAGACTCTGCTGCCCCACTCCCAGAACTAGGCCCGATTCACCTTCTCCTACCTCTTTGTTTATAGATAATGTAAATGCTTTCAGAAAGGCTTTCTCCCTGCTACTTAATGTATAAAAACACTTGCAAAGTCCTCCAGAATCAGACATGTTGTCTTTCCTACCTAGCCACGCTGCTGGTGGTTTAGACTCCATGTGCCAAGACTGGTCTTTTTTACTACCAATGGCCTAATAAACTTTTTCTTTAAAAAACAAAATAACAAAACAACTTTCAGCCGTGTAAGTTAAAATTTTTTTTTTTTTGGTGAGGTTGGTGATCTTATTTATTTGGTTATACTTATTTATTCTTTTTAATTATATGTACACTAGTAGCCCGGTGCACGAAATTCTTGCACATTAAAAGGGAATTAATTGCCCTAACCAGTTTGGCTCAGTGGATAGAGCATTGGCCTGCGGACTCAAAGGTCCCAGGTTTGATTCCAGTCAAGGGCATGTACCTTGGTTGAGGGCACATCCCCAGTGGAAAGTGTGCAGGAGGCAGCCGATTGATGTTTCTCTCTCATTGATGTTTCTAACACTCTATCCCTCTCCCTTCCT